ACGAAGGAAAGAGATTGGCATTAGTAAGATATGTCGTTCCGGACCACAAAATTGAAAATCATATCTGCGTACGTAGAGACAGCTAGCGCCTTATTTTCTGTTTGTTGTGTGTCTACGCGGCGCATCGTTCCACACCTTAGCAACGCTAGGATGGAGACCCAAGGTCCTCCCCCTATTCTTCATCAATATTAGCCAATGAGTAAATTGGGTGGGAGTGTCCAATCACTGTGCGATAGAAGGAAGTTGGCTTTCAGTCATACTTTCCCCCAATGAAATTCGGAACCTAAATGGCTACCACCTAGCCAATAAGAGAAACGTGAGGTGTTACATCTATCTGCTCACTTGTACGCACGCGGATAGACAACAAATTGCAGAGTCTAAGACGATTATAGCATATGTTCACTCCGACGTTAGCCCGGTTGTTCGGACGATGGATTTCCACAAATCCTCAAATGGTCACCGAGACCATGCAGGCAATCAGAAACTTATGCAATAGGATTTGTAGGTTGTGTTTGGTAAGATGGATAATGAACAATTAAATGAAATGGAAAACTGGCACAAGTGATCTCCAATGGGTAGACGTATTAGAGTCCAAAGGATTGCGCTGTGCGCCCTGCTTGAATCCCTTCGATGAAGTCGCGATATGAGACACGCCCATCCCCATCGGTGTCGAATGATCTGAATGCAAAACGCAGACAACCTCGTAGCACTCGACAATTTGCTCTTCCAACAAGATCCTTCAGGGTGATAAAGTTGCTGCCTCTGGAATCAAGTGCTTGAAATATGGATAGCAATTCATCATCTCTGGGTCCCTCTCTCAAGGCCAGATTGCAGCTCAATTCGCTTTTCAAAAATTCTATGGTTTTGGGTAGAGATAGGCCCACAGGATTTCCAGCCGAGTTGACGTCAAAGGAGTTACAAATCTGGGTCAGTAGACGTTGGGATGGCCGCTGACCAAAGAGTTCAATAAAAAACACCTCCAGGTCATCATGGTTGAGGTAGTGCTTGCCATCAGCAGCGTTGTCGAAGGCGTGTTTCACAGTGGCGAGATTGAAGAGCATGCCTCTATTACACTTCGGCGGGGTCCTATGGAGGAAGAATCGGACTCTCAATTCATGTGCTACTATGCAACAGTAAAAATATCGAT